CACAACAAAGGGAAAAAGGAACCCAGGTAAGGTTCTCTGTTCTTCAGAAAAGGCTAAGCTTTTGGCTAAAATGCTTGGCACAGATATAAAAAGAATTTGATGCTAGTAACAGGTGGCTTAGCAGGTTTAAAAATCGCTATGGGATTTGCTATATTTATTTGGAAAGAAGTTGTCAGCAGATGACGATGCAGTTGATGTTTTTAAACATGACTTGAAGAAATTATCAAGGGTTCCACAAATGACCAAATTATTATCAAGTTATTATTAACTTTAAAATGTTACCTAAAAAGTTCTCAGCCTGTACAAAAGAAGGTTACTGACCAGTCCTGATCACAGAATGCAAAAAAATCTCCCTATATACTGTTTATCAAACACATCTGGAACCTTTAAGCTTTTGTTGATATGGATTGGAAAGGCTGTGAAGCCCAGAGTACTATAGAATAGCCATGCAGTACTTAATATTTACTATCTGAAAGTCGGACAAAGTTGTACGTTGGTGCGACTCATTCTAGAATATTGTTCAACTGTATGGAGCCCTCATCAGAAGTACCTTGTGATGAACTAGAGAGGATCCAACACAGATTCGTCAGGATGGTTGAGGTAAAAAATGGAATTCAATATCACCAGGTTCCAGTTGAAGACCTGTCGCGGGACCTTGGCCTACAGCCTCTGGAGGATTGTAGGGCTATCGCTGTTCTGACAGTCCTTCATAAGATACTAAATGGTAGTAGCCTACCTATTGACTGTCCTGAAATCCTACGACAGATCCAGCTCAAAACTCCTTCGTGCACCCGTTCAAGAGACCTCTTTGCGAGACTACACCACCGCACGAACTACGAGGCAAATGGGGCTGTGGCACGCATGCAACGAGCAGGAAACGGCGTGTCTGATGGTGCTGACTTCTTCCTGTTTGGTGTTGCCTCATTCAAGCGAAGGGTTAGAAGAGTGTTTATGTAGTCTATTTCTTTTGTTTTTCTTTTCAAAGTCTACACCACTGTTTCATTGTTTCAATTTTAGTTATCATTGTTATCTTTATATTGTTATCTTTGTTGAAAGCATTTATTTCCACACTGTTTTTCTTTGTTAATTTATTGTTATTTCTTTTATAATGAATTTAAACTGTTATTCTTTGTTAACTATTATTGTTATTCATTGTAAAGCTTAAATTGAATTGTTTTGTTGTTACTGTTATGTTTTATCACTCGTTTTGTTGCTTGCTGCTGTCATTTTTACCACCATGTTGCCGTTTCTCATTTTTGTTTTGATTTTAACTGATTCATTGTTAATTAGCTTAAGTTAGTTAGCTTTAAGCAAGTCTTGTATGTTATTGCACTAAATTGTACCAAATATCAAAATGGAGCAGCTGTCCGTTAGAATGTAAACTAAAATAAAATCAAATACAAAAAAATAAATAAATAAAATAAAGCTGGTGACCATACAGAGTAATTGTAGGCCAACTACTTTCAGATCGTAGATATTACCTAAATATCCACATCATGTTTGGGCCTCATTATTTTTGGAATTGGGTACACTTCCATATCTATTGACACAAACAACCGAATGAGTAATATGGATTATTCAATTTTTTTATTCAATCTAACTTATTGTTTGGTTGGTTAGGTTAGGTTAACCTTACCTAACTAAAAACGATAAGTTATATCGAATAATTGATATAGGCTAAGTTATAGATTGATATTTTCATTCGGTTGTTTGTGCCAACAGATATGGAAGTGTACCCTTGGAATTTCATGTAGAACTCAAATCTATATAGAAAAATTTATTTTAAATTAAAATAAAAAAAGTTGCAGATCTGTGGGACTGTGACAGTGGGTGAGTCGCTGTTTGTCTCCGGCCAGCCCGGCGAGCGGGTGAGTTGGAGTCCCGAGAAGGTTCCTAATCCGCTGGGTATCATGACCAAATGGACGGACTAAGTTATAACTTTATTTCATTCACCCAGTTATAGTGAAATTTGTGGTCAATTTATAAAAGTGATTAGGCCTAACTCAAACCGAATTTAACCCAATTTATGAATCAGGATTAACACAAGCCCACCTATATTTTAATCAATTTTGATGTATGCAAGGATAGTTAAGAATCTTAACTGAACAACTGAAAGAGTGTGAAAACATAATGGGGCTTCAATAATCTGACATCTGTAACTTTGCAAAAATGGTTCATAAATTGATTTGTATAGGCTAGGCTAAAGATACAAATTAATTAGCAAACATCTAGACTCTGATTTGTGTTAAATTGACTTAAAATTTTATTGATAACGTAATCATCTAGGCCTAGACTAGGACCTAAGCTTAAGAAAAATAAGCTGTTTATTGTATCTGTACTTCTAGTGCAGTCTGAAATACAAATTTCAGAAGATGTTCACTGATAATACAAATTTAAATACAAAGTAAGAATTGATAGAGTAAATAAATGTCATTGAAATTCAAGCCATTATCAGAAACCGGCTGCTTTACCTTATGACGGATAACAATGGAGAGCTTAGCCTAAACAAAACCGACAATGCAATGAAATTCTCTTACTGTAACTACTGGGAATGAAACCATAAAAAATACACGGATTTAATTTGTCTATTCGATGTGTTGAGAGTAAATATAGAGTAAATTTACCTTAGATGACACAAAAACAACTCCTTTTAATAATGTACTTATGTCACAAACCACTTTGTTTACTTGTCATACAGTACAGAGACAGACGTCAACCAATACACACAAGCGTCTGTCAATTTCTTAACCAATGACTGAACAGCAGGAAGTAGATTAGCTAAAACTTGACCAAATACTTTATAATAATAACGATAGCTTCTTAAATTTAGAACTATTTACAAGTTAGATTACACATTGTCAATGTATATAATTTTTTATTTTATAGTATTTCCTACGAGAGCAAAAATTAAAGTTATTAGTAGGAAATTACTTGTTATTATGACTTGTGTATTAAGGGAGTTTCCTTCTTACCAATTGGATAGAGTGAACGGCCAGTAAACATCAAACACCTTCGATCCATGGAGAGTACTTAATTTGAGAGTACTACAAAAAAGTATAATAACAATTCGTAAAAGTATTATATTGTCTGTGGTAAAAGTGTATTAAGCTCCACCCTCGTCAAATCGTGTCATAAAAGTAAATAATTAGACTATTCATTTTATTATTATTATGTTTTAAGTGTTATTTAATATTATTAGCCAAATGTAAGCCGTTTAAGAGATGTATACAGTATAACCAACGGCTCAATACACTTAAAACCGAGAGGGGGCATAACCATAGATAAAACATACTCCCCCAAGTGTTGGTTAGTCTATGGCATAACCTTCCCTATTTTACTACATTATTACAGATATTGTTTTATTCATTCCTTTAATACATTAGGCTATTACATTGGAAATAAAATATAGCGTGAAATAAATAGGTACAGTACCTACCTACATTACTCTTCTACTTTCCACTGCTATTTCTGGCAGTATTAGTATTTTTTGTAAGTGTGTGTGCTCCTTTTACTTTCTCCCCCTATACCATAGTATATGGAGAAAGTATTGTTTTCGTCAACATTTTCAAGTTTGAGTTTTGAGTGGATATATTCGTGGAGTGATGTCTGTGTGTGTGTATGTGTGTCTGGATGTGTACAGAGCTAGGGATTACACCTGTGGCCCGATTTCGATGAAATTTGATATGTAGGTTCTAATCCATGTTATCTCCAGGCGTTTTTTTTTCATTTTTTAAAAATTTTGATTTTTAATGGGGATTTTCCCATAAAAACCCATAAAAAATAGGAAAAATCGAATTTTCTCAAAAATGGCCCGAACGATTTTGATAAAAATTTAGTATGTTGTAGCCCTTTAAATTCTGAACAAAATTGTACAAATCCCATTTCCGTATATTTACTCTCGCCGCTTACATGATAAAGGTTATTGACAAACTTATAGGAGAAAGTTGTCAGAATGCTGATACCGTTTATTTTTGGTTTGCCTCTCAGTCTCACTTGTTCACCAGTTTGAGTTGAGGGATATTTGTTCTAGGAAGCCTAACTTACCTCCTATCAGTGACGTAGCCATCAGGGGGTGGTCCTGGGGGTCCGGACCCCCCCTTCCAGTCTTAAATATAATATTTTGTTTGTTAAATGAAATGTTAAATTATATAATCATACTGTATTGACGTTGGGGTTGATTAGTTTCAATGCCAATAGAGCTAAAAAAGACCGTGTTAGGTCCTATATTTTTTAAATATTACCCGGGCCCCCCTTTTACCTGGGGGGGTATGGAATACCACCAGACCCCCCGGTCGGTCAACCCCCCCCTATTTTGAAATCCTGGCTACGTCACTGCTACTATATAGAAAGCTGCGAACTTATAAAGTGAAAACTCATAATATTACGCAGGTGGAAACCAGCAAGCATAGCTCGAATCGTATCCGTCCAAACTCCTTTAAATACAGATAGAAATGTCAGGGTTAAAGGTTGTATCTTCTCACCTCTTCAACTCAGCAAGAAACACACATCGATATCAATAAAGACTATATATACTATATATACTATATAGACTATATATACTATATTTATATATCAATATATATATATATATATATATATATAATATCGATGGAAACAGTCTTCAAGTGTAGATTTACTTTATTGCTAATTGAATTGGTGCCATATTTGACTTTGAATACCTTTATCAAGTTGTTGGGCATGCCATTTTTTACACCCTCAAATGTTTTAGAAGGTAAATAAATTGCAATTTATATTGACAGCATCACTACCGATGCCTAATTAATAGTCCATTGTGATTAATCACACCAGTCCCCAGGTACTCTGCAGTAATTTATAAAATTTTTTTTGCCCTTGTGTATCATTATACAAAAGAGGTAGATATTTGACTTTGCTTGCGTACATAGATACATACAAATGAAAAATATTTTTGTAATCTGATATGATTCATCAACTCTGTCATTTATAGTCATCCAGATTGTATATCAGAGATTACTGACCGTTTTTAATGAGGTGTACAGTGGTCAACAAGTGCTTTGGAACGATTTAGTGTAATTGTACAAATGTTTATTTAATTTAAGATTTATGTTTTTTTTTTTTTTAGAAAATGAAGATTCATTATCTGGTTGTGGTACGTAGGCTGTTGAGTAAAGCTAAATTCAGGAATATTATTTTTATCCAAATTTTAAATTGAAAATATGAATTGTCCTCTAATAAGCATAATTTATTACTTAAACTAAACTAAATGTATGTCAAACTTGTTGTATGTGTGATATAGAGTAAGACATATATGCTAATTTATTTGGCCCCTGTAATAGGAAAAAGTTTTTTTTTTAATGTTGAAAATTTATTTTTTTATTTAAATAGATGTTTTGAAATACTTTTGTTTGTTTGTACAAAAGCTTTTATAAAATATGTTCTGAAATTTAATTTATAAAAAAACAGGTAATTTCTAAAAATTACTTGTGATACAAGTACAATTAATGTAAAAAATCAACTGGTCGATTTTGAGGAGTGTTTTCTTTCAAATAGGTACATTCAATAATCCCTTATAAAAGTTATTTTGGTATGGAAGTTAACCAACAAACCATTTATTGGGTATTTACATATATTCACCCATAGTTTTGTTATAGTATGATGCTCTATTATGATAAAATACTACTGCTCATATTGATTGATTTTTTTGGACAGAACTTGTGTTTTCTCCCAATAAGGATTATAAATACAAATATGATTGTATCTTATCCAATTCAGACTTATATAAATACAGATAAAATTTACATACATGATGTGATAGCTGTCTATATTTTAACTCTATTATAATTTATTGTTTGGCTCTTGAGTGTTTTTGTCTATTTTGTAACTGTAACCACCATAACAAAACTTAGTTTCAGTTGAGGAAATGGAAATATGTCAGTAAATATAAAAACATACATGGTGTCCAGTAAGTAAAAAGCAATAGCCTACCTCAGGAAAAAGTTTAAAAAAATAGTCAAAGTAAAGAAAAATAATAATGTTTGAAATTTTTTCCAAAAACACTTTTTTACTATGTCATTTTGTACTTTACAAATACTAGGCTAAGGTAACAAATAATACTTTTAAAAAAATTAGCTTGGACGGATCTAAAATTTCAAAATGTCGGACTTCAAAGTTCTTAAAGTCATATTTCATGAAATCGAGTGACTCCAACCACAATGTTACAAAACATAGCATTTAACGGGGCATAGCTCTTTACTTACTGGACACACTGTGTAACAACCAAGAAATATTAAAAAATAGACCGACATTAAGGTATAAGTTGTTCTGATGACTATCAAGTATACTTTATATTCCAGATATCAGCGTGTTTTCTATCCATCAGCAGCAGCTGCAATGTTGCCTCATTCGGCTACAGTTCATCTTACTACGATGACTACAACACTGGACCCCAAGTCGGCTTTGGCTTCGGCCCTGGATTTTTCGGATACACAGGGGGATTCGGACTAGGCAGCCTGGGTTTGCTCTTGGCAATGTTGATGAGTCGTAACCACCACCCATCCCCGAGAGTCGTGCACCACCATCATCACCACTACTACAAGGAGAAACCTGGGGGAGGTTTTGATTACCAATACAAAAATGGGGGTCCAAAGGAGGGTCAAAGTTCCTACGGCCAAGAGGGTCAAAAGTGGGGTCAAAGCTCCTACGGCCATGAGGGTCCAAAGTGGGGTCAAAGTTCGTACGGCCCCGGTGGCCCTACAGATCCTGGAGCAAGAGGACCAAAATCTGATGGACCATTTTCTAATTTCTTTAAGAATATGTTCCATCGAAGATAGATAGCTAGAAATAAGATGAAATTATGATCAAACATCAAATACACTCTTTGAACTAGGTACAGAGTCAAATTATTCATCAAAGTCAGAGTCTTAAGTGCATTTGTATGCATTGGTGACTGGTGAGTCGGTAGCTCAGTAAGTAGCGTGGGCCGTGACAGCAAGGCAGTGATGTCAGAGGTTCTCGTATTTAATGGTACAGTTTATTAAATTGCTTTTACCATTAAATTGGTAGTTTTTAATGGCAACTGTCAATGTTTACAAGTATTTTTATGAAATGAACAACTACAATGAATGAATCTTAAGTAGTTATTAGATCATCTGATCGACTTTTACAAAAATTTAATAAAACAGTTTTTTGTGTCTTGTTGTGTTGTAGCATTTATTTTGGGACTCATGAACTTCCTTCCACTTCTCATTCAAAGATGTCTTTTCCATGTTTTAATTCGACATTCAAAGGTGTCTACTATAATCCCAAGAGATTCTGTGTTGTCCTTTTTACCTGTGTTTTTCTTTTTTAGAATTACCGGTAATTGAACTACATCAACTACTGTACTTTTATTAAAGAAAAATTCTCACTGTGTGGTTTATGATTTTGTAAAACCAATTTTCACCATCGACTCCTAATTCAAACATATGGTGAAACTAAAATAGTATTAATTGCTCACACTTGTACATTATATCATTCCGAATTTAACGATTTCACTATTTTACGATAACAAAGTAACATGTACCTATCTCTTGCAATCGGTGTATTTATTAAGGTATGTCTAGTTCAAAACAAGTAAGTTATGTGTGCACCTATTCCCTTCCAAATCTTTATAAATAACAAATTTTGTTCATGCAAATCTGAAATTAATAATTATTTTATTTTCTCCCACCAACTAAAGGTACAAACTTTTGATTTATCCTATTAGTTTCCTAAAATAATGGCAATATTTATTGTGACATGATGGATAAATTATAAATTTATCTTTATTAGTACAAAATGCAATTATAAACTGCATTTGTAATTTATTTGTAACTTACCTGTTTAGTGAATGTTAAAAATTTTATTTTAAATACACTTACGCAGGTTCATAGGGATATTATGTAAATGGAAATTCACTTAATCTGCAAGTTTGCTGTGGCAGGGGTATTATTGTATTATTTAGTTAAAAAAGAAAAGTTCATTTAAAAAATAGGCTTATAAAAAGCTGTTTTCTTAAACACTGTACTAAAGCTATCATAGCATAGCAACATACAACAAAATATGAAACATTTTAATCACCCAGCAAAATATTTCCAGGTTTTTGCTGTATGCATTGGAGACAATCTAGACAACAACAACCCAGATGACAGAGGGGTTGGTCAGTATCGAATAGGAAAATAAAATTAGACATGTCCACAATCGTGCATTTTTGTGTGCGCCAAGTACATGCTTCTTAGCCCATGCCTTGACACAGATAGACGCAATAACGCATGCGTCAAGGCATGCCCGAAATGAGTCGAAAGGAGCTCCATTCCATGGCGCACAGCGTAGCACAAGGCGATCCACCAGCCTTGGGTTTCTGTGTGTTTCAACTTGCAACTGCTTTAAATTTTTGACAAGACGTCCGTGCGTGTTGTAGTTGCTTGAAGCAACATGAATAACTAAGAAACCTCAGAATTCGTAGAAGATTATAGCTCTCATGTATGTTTGTGACACTTACAAAGTAATAAATAAATATATACAGGGTGTTCAAAAAAGGTGCGGACATATTTTACCTAGTGATTCCTTGGGTCAAAATAAAGAGAAAATCAAGAATAACAATATTTCCAAAACCGCTTCGTTAACCAGATATCCGCCATTTTGTATTTTTTACAATAAACATTTTTATCTTATAACATTTTCAACCGATCTTTATGAAACTTGGTATGTATGTTAAGGTAAAAGAGCCCCGTGTTAGAAAAAAAATCATCTTTATTCATCTTAAAATTTTAAAATGTCGGCCATTTAAAGTTTTAAAACTTAAATTACTCAAAAATGGCTGATTTTATGAAAGAATGTCAAGAACACTTTTATTTAGCATTTTTAATTATCTATCAAACGATACCAAGTTCAAAAAGATCTAATAAGAAAAAGATAAAAATATTAGGATTTTTAGTTGTAAATAGCGCGGGGCAAACCTGACTAGCTGCTGCCTTATTCTACCCCATTTAACAACTAAATATCGTAATATTTCAGTTATTTCTTATTCGATCTTTTTGAACTTGGTATCGTTTGATAGATGATTAAAAATTATAAATAAAAATGTTCTTGACATTTTTTCATAAAATCAGCCATTTTTTAGTATTTCAAGTTTTAAAATTTTAAATGGCCGCCATTATTTTGCAATTCTAGGTTGAATCAAGATGAATTTTTTTCTAACACAGGTCTCTTCTACCTTAACATACATACCACGTTTCATTAAGATCGGTTGAAAATATTAAAATATGAAAATGTTTATGTAATAAATACAAAATGGCGTATTTATTTTTTGATTTATTTTTGATTTTCTCTTTATTTTGACCCAAGGAACCACTGGGTAAAATATGTCCCCACCTTTTTTGAACACCCTGTACATATAAATTAATTAAATTAAATTTTAATTAAATTAATTAAGAAAATTACAAGTTTTATAGAACTCCTTCATCCACATTGTACGCCTTGATTTCTTACATTTTTGAACTTTTCTTATCACTAAATATGCAGCTCAAATTCCTCCTATATCAGAATAGCGTCGTCTTCCTTCATCTAGAAAAAGGTATCTAAAAAGTTGGAAAAGTGAGGCATGAGTGTGGACAGCTGAAAGACATGCCTCAAATTGCATGCTATAACGCATGTGTTGATGCATGTTGAATTTGAAACACATTGTTGAAGTTTCAACACCCTTTTTTGAAAGGGTGTTGAAACTGAGCGCACGAGTGTGGACATAGCTATTAAAATATATTCGGGTTGAAACAATTTTTTATAAATAGTTTAAGGCACCCTGTTTTAACCTTGCATTTGGCCCTCCACATAGGCATGTGCTTGGAACTATCCAGCAAAGCAAAGGGTGAACGGGTCCAGTACAGTGGTGAATTGCCTATGCCTGATAAAAAAGAGTGGCAGGTACCAGGATCCGAACCCTCGACATCGCTACATTGGGAACAAAGTCTGTGGCGCTAAACTGACTGAGCCACCCTCACTGTAATGCTATTAGAAGTGATTGAAGAACGTATATTTGTTCACAACCTATTTCTGTCCACATTTTGAGTGGACTTTATACTTAAAAATTCTTTCTGTCTTTTCCCCATTAAAAATTTAAAAAAATATATATTTTCGCCATCATTCTAATCAACTTAAGAAGACGGTTTATAGATGGGTATATCTTAAAAAATTTGGCTAATTTCTCTATTTTATTAGCAAATTTCCCTATAGGGAAGTAGCTATTACCGTAGGTCTCATGGTAAGACCTAGGCCCGGGACCGATTTACTTTTTCATTTTGATGTCCCCAGAGGCCAAAAACACCATTCGTTAAAATTTTTATATATCTATATATAGATATATATATATATATATATATATTAATAAATAATATGTAAAATAACATGAGTAGGTACCCTTTTTACTTTCTCCCCCTATACCATAGTATATGGAGAAAGTATTGTTTTCGTCAAAATTTTCGAGTTTGAGTTTTGAGTGGATATATTTGTTTTGGGTCCCCCTGGACCCAAAAAAGTGGTTTTCGAAGTGATGTCTGTGTGTGTGTGTGTGTGTGTGTGTGTGTGTGTGTGTGTGTGTGTCTGTGTGTCTGGATGTGTACAGAGCTAGAGACAACACCTGTGGTCCGATTTCGATGAAATTTGGTATGTAGGTTCTAATTTATGGTATCTCCAGGCGTTTTTTTCATTTTTTCGAAATTTTGATTTTTAATGGGGATTTTCCCATAAAAACCCATAAAAAATCGGAAAAATCAGATTTTCTCAAAAATGGCCCGAACGATTTTGATAAAAATTTAGTATGTTGTAGCCCTTTAAATTCTGAATAAAATGGTACAAATCCCATATCTGTAAAAATTATGGTTCAAAAGTTATGGTCAAATATGTTATTTTCCCATAAAAACCCATAAAATAACGACAAATAGGATTTTAGAAAAAAATACGGTTTTGATTTAACATAGTATGTTATAGTCCTTACAGTTTTGATAGTTTTTTTTTAATTTTTTTAGAAATTTTTATTTTTAATAGGGATTTTTCCATAAAACCCCATAAAAAAACGGAAAAATAGGATTTTCCCAAAAATGGCCCGAACAATTTTGATAAAAATGTTGTCTGTCATAGTCCTTTATATTCTGAACAAAATGGTACAAATATAATTTCTGTAAAAATTTTGGTTCAAAAGTTATTGTAAATTATGTCATTTTCCCAAAAAACCCCATTAAATAACAGAAAAATCGGATTTTCCCAAAAATGGCCAGAACAATTTTGATCAAAATTTAACATTTTATATACCTTTTAAGTTCTGAACAAAATTGTACAAATCCCATTTCCGTATATTTACTCTCACCGCTTACACATGATAAAGGTTGTTGACAAACTTATGGGAGAAAGTATGTGTCAGAATGCTGATACCGTTTATTTTATATTCTTTTTTATTTAATATATATATATATATATGTGTCCATCCGCACGATAACTTGAGTAATTTTTGTCCGATTTTGATAAAATTTGGTTTGAAGGTGTAAGGCGGGATAAACTTGAACGAGTTCGCGAACCAGCATGATCGGACTATGGGAACGGGGGTTTATGGGGGTTTTATGGGGTAGAAATAGGTTTTTCCCATTTTTGACCCAAAAAACAAAAAAATTTGCAAAATCTTTTCAAACTATTTTGTAGATCTTAAAAAAACAAATAATTTAGTATATTGAAGCGTTACTATGTGCCTAATGGTTACGGAGAAAATTCCAAAAAAATGTAAATTTTAAATTCCCATGTTATTCTTATGGAGAATAAGTAAACTGTTGTAGTTTGCTTGTTTATAAACATATTTTGATCAAATTTGGAAAATGTTTTTATTTCTTACTAACTATTAACATTTTACAAAAAAAGCAGTTTTACCCTCCCTGATGCAGCAAACCTAAGTACCTGTTAAACTAATTCTATTTAAATAGGAAATAAATGTTAAATTTTTAAGTACCGGTAGACATTTTAGTGTAAATCCAATCAGACATATGGAAATTCGCTTAGTCTGCAGGTTTGCTGCGGCGGGGGTATTTTATATTTATTTCAAACTAAAATTGTTTATGTTTCATGAAGAAATGACTCATATAGTACTGCATTTGCTGAGGTGATGTTTTGGATAACTGTCAATGATATAATTGATGAT